GGCTTGAGGAAGTTTGCTTCTGGTGATGAGGTTTGCGAGGTTCAGTGCTTGTTTGAAGGCTAGGATGGGTGACTCTGGGAAGATCTTGTTAAGAATAGGGTCTCTTTCTAGTATGGGTTGCAATTGTTTGAGGATTTTCCGTACGGGTTTGAGGGAGGGGTGATATGTTATAACCAGCGGTGTGCGATTTGTGGGGGGTTTTCTTCTGTACTGCAGCAGTTTTTCACATGGTATCCAGGTGGCTCTTTCAAACATGCGGTTTACCTCTCTGGAGAATTGTTCTTGTTGGGTGAAAGCCTTTTTAAGATTGGTGAGGTGGCAATCCCAGATGTTCTCTTTAGTGCAGATTTGGTGGTATCTGAGGGCTTGGCTGGTATGAGAGCTTTTTTGGTGTGTTTAGGATGATTGCTCGTTCTGTGCAGATATGTATGTTGGTCTGTGGGTTTCTTGTATAACGTGGTCTGTAATTTATCATTCTGGATACTGATCATCATGTCTAAAAAGGAGATGTTGGTGCTGGAGTATTCTAGAGAAAGCTGGATGGAGGGACGGAAAACCTACAACCTCTGAGTTATGGCCCCACAGTATGCCAACCTTTTTTTGAGCCACCTGGAAGAAGACTTCCTCAAGAGCTGCACCATCAAACCCTTGCTATACTTAAGATGTATCAATGACATCTTCATCCTTTGGACTGAAAACCTACAATCTCTGATTGAATTCCATCAGAAATTCAACAATCACCATCCCTCCATCCAGCTTTCTCTGGAATACTCTGCACCAACATCTCCTTTTTAGACATGACGATCAGTATCCAGAATGGTAAAATACAGACCACGTTATACAAGAAACCCACAGACCAACACACACATCTGCACAGAACCAGCAATCACCCTAAACACACCCAAAAAGCTGTGATATAGTCAAGCCCTCAGATACCACCAAATCTGCACTGAGGAGAACACCCGGGATTGCCACCTCACCAATCTTAAAAGGGCTTTCACTCAACAAGAACACTCCTCCAGAGAGACAGATTGCTTGTTTGAAAGAGCCGCCTGGATGCCACATGAATAATTGCTGCAGTACAAAAGAAACCCCGCCACGAATCGCACACCACTGGTTATGACGTATCACCCCTCCTTCGAACCCATATGGAAAATCCTCAAACAATTGCAACCCATACTAGAAAGAGACCCTATTCTTAAAGAGATCTTCCCAGAGTCACCCATCCTAGCCTTCAAACAAGCACCGAACCTCGCAAACCTCATCACCAGAAGCAAACTTCCTCAAGCCCAGAACACACCAAATGGATCCAGACCATGCCATGACCGCCCCACCCCCGCCCAGCCTGTCTCTCACCCATTGACTCCTCAGTCTACATTTTCACTGACTACTTGTCTTGTATGCATCCCACCCCAGCCGCTGGCTTCTTTACTTTTCATTCCATCCAGGAAGAGCACACACCAACTGCAGAAACTTCCTTAGCCTGACGAAGGGTTTTTGAACCTGAAAGCTTGATTAATAATTGTTTTCCAACTATTTAAGTTGGTCTAATAAAAGATATAAGATTCACCCAAAGAACCTTGTCTAAAAATAATTATACTTTTATAGGTAGCGACATGAAGAGCAGCCTACTTTAAGAGAATGACAGAAAGAATCTTTTTCAAAATTTGAGGTTATATTCCTACTTTGCTATTCTAAAATGACCTTATATAATTAAAATTGCCTAGGTTACAAATCACCCTTAAAAACTAAATGATTTATTCAGGTAAGAAGTTTGCCAAAATAACTCTTCTGAAATGTTTGTGTTTAACTAGGACAGTTTATTGGAAAAGTAACACTTCCAAATTAGGACATTTCTTGACATTTTGATCAATAATCAAACTTAGCACTGGTTGGGAAGAAGGGCTCTAGAAAACTAAAGTAGCAACTTATATAGGAGGTAGATATTAGGGGTGTACGAAGCAGGCCCTATTCGATTCAGATTCGAATTTGGCCGAAATCAGGGACAGTGATTTGATTTGTTGATTCGGATCACTGTCCCTGATTCAATTCAGCCGAATCTGAAAATTCGATGCTGATTCAGAGAATCAGTGATTCAGCCATAGACATAGCTTTAAAAGTTTTTTCTACATACCTCGAGGTAGCAACACAACTTGTGAATGCTGGGATGCATGGAGTGTCCCACAGGAGTGCAGGGGGGGCCTCCACATGCTCAGCGGTGGACCCAGAAGTGGACCAGCTCAGCGATTGGCTGCAGGGGTACCCCAGGTGCCCTGCCCGAACCCAGGAGGCACCAGTCACTGAGCTGTGAGGGCACAGGGGGGCCCCCAGCGGACCTGGTAATGGACCAGAAGCGCTTCTGGTCCACTTCCAGGTCTCCTGCCCAACGTGCTGGGGAGCTCCCTGTATTTCTGTGGGACACTCCATACACCCCAGCCTCGCAGCTTTCATGAGCCCCTGCTACCTAGATGTATGTAGAAAAAACATTTAAAGCTGTCTCTGTGTCTGAATCTCTGAATCTTTCCGAATCTCTCTGAATTGATTCAGAGGGTTCTGACTCGATTTGGAGAAATTAAAGGGTCCTCTGATTTGATTCTGATTTGGAGATTGGACCATCGAATCAGGCTGAATCTCCGCTGAATTGAATCAGGGACTGGAGCTTTGCACAGCCCTAGTAGATGTATGCCATTTCAGTTGACTGGTTGTTTCTATGCGACTTTCTGAGGAGTAACCTTTTTGATGGCATGGAAGAACATAAGGACACAGATAGAAGTGAAAATTTTCACCTGATTTGGCCACAGAAAGCACTTGGCAACCGTGACCAAACACAAGTGCATGGCTGCAAACAGCCTAAAAAATGGCCAATCAGGTGAAAATCTCAAGAAGTTTCACAATACAGTATCTTCTGTAACTTCTGTTGCACTGCCTGTCAGCCTGTCGCTGTTTTCAGAATGGGAAAGGAGAGGGGAGCAGAGAGAGTATGGTCTGGGGGTTTTTCAGCTTGGGCTGGAGGGGAGGCAAGTGTATTGGAGTGCCACCTTGGAGGAGTGGATGTGGGGAGGGTTCCAGTACACCCACCCCACCCTCCAGTACAGGCTGAGGAACCCCTTAGAATAAGCTCCCTCTGCTCCCTTTCCCCCCTCTCATTCTGATACAGGGACAGGCTGGGAGAGAAGCAGGGAAATTGGCTGCAGTCTCCGTTGCCAGGGAAAATCAGTTGCAGGCTCTCCTCCTCCCTGGAACCAACAGTGAACTTCTGTTTGTTCCAAGGAATTGTTGTAACTTAGAACACTTCCTGCAAAGCGTTCTCAGTTGCAGCAGGGAGCTGCACTTCTGTCTGTACCCATAATCTGGTGTCTCAGGTTGAGATATAAAGTGAAACATGAGAAATTTGTACGATGATGGTTTAATGTGCACTATATTGATTTGGATATAAATCACTCCAGTGCTCAGGCTTTTTATGTAAGTTGGTTCAGTCATTTAGAAGAGGTGCATTTACCATACATACCCCATGAATTAAGTAAGCTGTGAAACAACGTTGTAACAACTAACTCTGGCAAGTAATTCAGCAGATGGGTTGTAGAATTTAGAGATGCAAATGAAGATCTGGCCATGACTTTCTGAAGGTTAAGTTTATACAACTGCCCTCTTTTTAACAGATGGTTAATATTTAAGGATCTGTACATTGCAGAGTTAATTTACTTGAGAGGATAGCATTTTTACTGCTGGTCTTTTAAATGTACTTTTATTTACAGTCTGTAGGACTGCTACAGGAATTTGATTTTAATCTTTACAAATTTCTTTTTCATGAGCCTAGAACAAGAACAAAAAAACCTGTTTTTTGGAATACAGTATTTCATTCATAATTTGGAATAACAGGCTTCTTGATACAGATCAGTATGCTTGTCTTCTTCAGAATGACTGTATAGAAGCTATGTCCTGAAGGAGAAAAATAAATAATTTATCATAGTAACTCTTGGGCATCAGATAGATTGCCTTATGTGAGCTCTGCTTTGGAGTTCAGTGCCTAAGTGTTCAAACTCTTAGAAAAATTATGAGTGTATTTTATAGCTTTGC